TAGAGTTAACAGATAAATAATGATGTGTGGTGTTCGTGATCGAGAAATGTCAATATAAGAGCAACACACAGATGAAGTTTTTTCACCACAAATCATAATGGGTTCGGAAGGATTCTCAAAAATTCAGTATGAAATACACCTAGCGTGTAGTCAGTCTCACATCAAAGTGACCAACGCCCAAATAAGCTAAATAACCCAAATTATCCAATAGTGATCAGAGCCCCTGAAGCAATCGAAGGTGTCTTAACAGAAGTCAATTGTGTAACTCTATGCTGAATATTTACTCTGACAGATGCTTTAATTTGTTGTTTCATCCGATCCATCCATGCACATTTTTTAATCTCTTCCCGTTTAGTGATCTGTCACCGTCGCTCGTGATTTTACTCTTCGATCGCGGCACGTCAAAACAACTCGCCTTTTATATGTTTTAACGATTTATATTCTGTTCAAATATCCATTGACTTGCTCTATTGGAGCACTCTGCCATCCCCAACATTTTCTTCAGTGACCTTGTCTACCTTGTGTTCCATTTGTATTGCAGCGTTCAATCCAGCTAAACTCTTTTCATTACTCCCTATATTCTATGCACCAGTGCACCGCGACTATCAATTCTTTTTCCGTGCTCGTCTCGTACATATGAATGTGTGGTACATATAATCATGCTCTTGCATGCCTCACGGGCTTCGTGAAATATACAATTATTATTATTATTATTTTGGACTGTGGAAGGTCGGCGATGATAAATATCCAAGGTAACCTTCGGCGAATACCGAGGTTCAGTGTGAGTGAACGCTCACCGTAGGTTTTAATGGGTTTGCGATTCGCCGCGACCAGTCCCACTGTAGAGAGTCCATAAAGGTGCGCTTTTGTCAACTAGGAAGCGTATTCCGGTATGTCGGTCGGTGACGAAGAACAGGCGACTTGTTTATGGCGAGCCGGACACGGTCGTCGCCTGGGCCGGTCGGGTTATCGGTTTTCCGATTTGGGTGTGTAGCTTCACGGTGTAAGGCAACTTGCTGAGGCGTCACCGTACCAACGATCATACCAGCAAGTCCAAATCGACGATGAGCCTGATCGTGGGCGCCTAGGGCTACGGCTCCTGTGGTGTGAGCGTGTTGGACGGCGTTGTCGTGGCCGGTCACTAGATAATGTCAACGTCTGAACCTGTGCAACTGACGCTCTAACACAGGCTACTAGTTCAGCGTTGTCGGATCAGGGCGGTGGTTGCGCTGGCTGTATGATGGATTGGACCGCGAATTGGTCGGCGTATACCTTTTCGGCCATTTCCGCTGTTTCAGTTAGCGTTCAGCGTTGAAATACTGCAGTATAAAGGATAAGCTCTTTGGTAGAGCTTGCCTCCAAGACAAGCGGAGGATATTTTCGTCGACATTTAAACTGGCAGCTTGACCCTGCATATAACTGATAAGTTTTTTGGGTGGGTCGAGGCCGTTGTCGCCTAGACGAAGGCCGCCTAGAAGTTGCTTGAGGCAACGTTCAACGGGCATACCGAATCTGCCTAGGATCGCCTCACGGAGTTCGTCATACAGTCGATCTGATGGTGGTTTGCAGACAATGTCGCGCAGACCCGGGGCCACAGACGTTGGAATGTGACCTACTAACTGAGCAAACTTGGCTAACTGATTAGTCACATTAGCTAACTTAACCTGGGCTAGCCAAAACTCTGGGTTTTTAGAAATAAATTCAGATATGCGGGATTGGAGGCCCAATATGCTTGTTTCTTCTGCCGCGGAAATAACGCCGTTCTTCTCGTTCTTCTTGAACAAGATAAAACCAGATGGTTTTCAGCACAAATCACACATCTTTGTGTGCATAGATCGTTTATATACATGACCGAATTTACACGACAGTTTATTGGATGTTGACGCCTGCTCGAAGGTTGTATAGACTGGACGGGTCTATTACTTCTTCTGCTTCGGTTGGCAAGTTGCCCAAAGCGACTCCTTGCCACTCTAGCCATTGCAGATATGAATTCTGTCAGTTCGCTAAAATTTGGCTCCGTGTCGTTTTGAGCAATCCGATTCACGGTCTCCGCCCACTTCTGTTGCAGGGAATACGGTAATTCTTTAACTATTTGTTCCAAGCGAATTCAGATCAGCCGTGTAACCCATTTGTTCCAGAGCGATCATGCAGCTCTCCATTTGAATAGCTAAACATGACAATACATCAGCATCCACGCCATTCATGTTGAGACCCTCCAGTAATCCATCTACCTCGTGTGAGCTCCCAAATGGATCTTTGAGAATTGTACATGCCTTTTCGTACCCAACCGCGGGTGGCAACATGATGCAATCTTCAGTTGCACTCCTAGCCTTCTCCTTACAATAATGAAGCAAATATAACAAGCGTTGCCCGTCGTCATTAGTTTTGGAGGCAACGTATATTTGAAATTGCCGAATGAACCTCCTGTACATTGTGGGTCGCCCATCGAAAGACAGAAGCTCTACTTTGTATAGGTCTAGATTCGCCAAAATGCGGCCTGATGTGGACGTCGTCGTCTGATGTTTTCTCTCTAGCTTACCAAACCCTGCTGTCCTGGGAACAAAAGGATCACTCGCCTTTCTTGTGTCCCATACTGGATGGTTTTCAATAAATTGCATCACTCGATCTTTTCCGTCCTCACTCACNAACGGATCGACAGCTTATCCTCCACTTTTTCTGCGAGCCTTGCAGTCTCCAATTCTTGTCGTACTGCTAGCAGTTTGCTTCTATGTCCTTCTTGGAGTTCTTTCATCTACTGCTCCATTTTCTCTCGCAGATGGCGTTCATTCCTTTTACTTAACGACACGCTAAGCTTCGACTTACCGCTCAGCCGACTAGACCCACTAACCATGGAGCCATGAACAGAAAAACTACGCAAGGAGACTTGTCGAGGTTCTCCAGTGTTGTCGTAGGATCCCTGCTGTTCGTCATCAACGTCTTTGTTCATCATATCCATTCTCCGAGTGACAGCAATATCAGAGTATTGTAACGACCAAAACGCAATTGACCTGGTCCGAGTGAAACAAAATCCCTCGTCTGTAAGCGTTCAATCAAATGACCCTTCGCTCGTTCTGGATAGCGATAAACAAATCTCAGAGCAACGCGTCGCCCAAATTATCGAGAACCAAGTCGATCCAAAAATAATCTATGGCACTATTTTCGCAGTGTTCACAAATACATAAGGCAGTCATATCTCTGGTAGTGAGCCTGATTCACTATCCACCCAAAATGTTACAAAGATTCACAGAAAATATCTGCGGTAATAAAAAGTAAATAAGAAAATGAGTGATTTTAAACTACCTTTCAGATAATTCGGGACCAATAGGAAAATTCTGCATGCTTTAACAGATCACGCAAAATAATCTTGAGCGTACCAGCCAAAAGGGGTTCAATATAACCGAATTGTTAGTTCAACAAAGCGCGTCCAATCAAAACTTTGGTCGCAATAAAACAAGAAAAAGTACTGAATTCTATTTACATGTAAGAGAAAAGCTCTTGAATTGTGTGTCCAATGGATATGCTTCACCGTAAAAAAGGTGAAATAGAACAATCAGAAGAGAAAACTCATCGACGTGAAAACCACTGCACGATAGAATGGTAAAGAAAGTTAAAGAAATGCAAGGTAATTGAGAGGAACTTTGAGTCGTTTTGACTCTTACAACTAGGTTCGGGCAATAAATGGCACCTACCTTCCGACCTTGGGTACGACGAAGTTAACCGTACAGATAGCTGGTGTTAAGGTGACGCACCCTATGCTGGTGGCAGGTAAAATGCTCTCGGACATGATTGTGTGAATCGGTTTTCTACGAGCTCACGAATGCTGCGTAGACCTGGGACGGAGCAAGCTGACTTTTAGGGGCTAGATAAATCTGTACTTTCAATAGGACAAAGGTTTCGTGCTCAGCAGATCCACCTGGTCAGGTATCACGGCTGGTAGGAAATTCTAGTCTAGGATTAATCCTAACACGGACAAAAAAGCTGGCGTCCGCCGTATACAAGAATACAAAAGCTTTCGCATGGAATGAAGTACCCGGGTGTATTTCATACTGAATTTTTGAAAATCCTTCCGAACCCATTATGATTTATGGTGCAATAACTCTATCTGTGTGTT